GTAAAAATTTGTTTCTTCTGGACATCAAAGCCGTGCCTTCATAGAGAAAATGTTTAATGATTTCTTTTTACTACCGCATTCCTTGCAATAAACCTTAAGATATAGACTAAATCTATTCCGTCGAATTAAAATAATTTGCCAGGTCCTTCACCTTTACCGTTAAACAGTACTTCTGTAAAAATTTGTTTCTTCTGGACATCAAAGCCGTGCCTTCATAGAGAAAATGTTTAATGATTTCTTTTTACTGCAGGTTTCAATAATTTTTACAATGAGAATTACAAGGAATATGTGGTTTCTCTGCATAGGTTCTTATATACCAATGCAAGCTTTGTAGTATTCAGATGATCCTTCTTGATAAGTTTCCAGGACTTAGTCTTATTATTAATGAGCCATGTTAGCCGAGAAGTTATGTAGCTGCTTTGGAGGATTACAGTTTTATATTTTATGTACTTTACAGGTTCCAGCGGGTAACTACAACAACAACTCTATTTATTACTAAAATAGAGTGAATCGGTTAAGGTTTCGGTTAATATAATATATTAATGGAAATATTTTTGATCTAACATTCAGATATGACCGTTGGAAAAGTAGTTACTTTCGCTGTTTCAAAGTATGAGATTTCATAAAATATGTTTGATATTTTAAAAACTATGAATAAGAAAATATTATATACGTCAATTTCGTATGACTCGATTAGTTTTACTTGGACTTTGCGCCCGAAAATGAATCATCAGAAAGTAAATTTTCTACCATATGCTTTCTTGTTATAATTGAATGAAGTTATTGATGTGGTAGTTTTTTTTTCTACTTTACTTTATTTAAATATTGTTTAAATATATGAAAAAAATAGTATATGCAGGGCACCACTCTTAAGTGATAGCACTTTTATGCGGGTTTCTAATGAGTTCAACGCAGCAATCAACACTAATGGCAGATTACACTACTTCAACTCATGAAAATATTTCTCATTCAGAATAAGTTGTCTCCATGTTTTTCGAAAATGTGGTATAAATCAAATATGAAAAAAAATATTAAGCTAATCTCACTTAGTTACAATGTCATAAATGCATTATATATTTGGTGAAGAAACTTATTAATACCTAATAAGATGTAATATCATTTGAATCAAATAGTTTTATTTATTTTATTTTACATATATATTTTATTTGTATATGTTTGCCTTTTTTATATACATTTCAGTTCCCACGGTCACCCAATTGAATTAGAACCAATTTCAAAGATCTATAAATTTGAACTGGTGGGCACACTGCTTCGTGGCATCTACGTTTATTGTTACAAGATAAATCATTTTCACCTCAGTTTTATTTGATAGTATAAAAGTAATAATTTGTTGTCCATTTTTTCTATGTGTTAGAGACCGGAATGTTTAGCAGTCCATTTAGCCAGATTTTCATTTGCTTATTTGGTTTCAGTTCATATTTCATACATTCATGACACTAGTTTTTAGCAACAAGCATTCATTCAATCGCTTTCACAATTCGGAAATTTTTACATGTATTAAGCTAGATTAATCCACCGAATAATTTTTGTTTTCAAATCCATGAGCTGTTTACTAGAGGCATAATAAGTAAACTAATATTCCTAAAAATTATTTTCAATTTAAAAGTTCGTAGTACTGTAAATAAATATAGGCATCTATTTCCCTTCAGTTGTTAGCTCGTATGTATCAAACATGTTCATGTTTACAATGTTTTTTGGAATAAAATAAATACTCTTTATTATTTTTTTGAAAATGTACGTGTTTTCCCTTAATAAGTATACTAAATATACTTCATATTACATCTGCAGTTCCGTACGCTATGAAATAATTTTAGCGATACACATCATTTCCAGAATACCGTGAACCGAATATTTTTAATAATATGTTTCAATATAAAAATTTTTTTTTTTTAAAAATAAACGTCAGAAGACATCGAAATGAAAATGAAAGTCATTGTGTACATAAATATGAACTTAAATGTGTAAAACAAAACTAAAAAGCAAATACATACGTTTTACATACTATATAATCAATGCATATATAAAACAATATAAAAAATTTCCAAAATGGGGATATTAAATATTCTAAAAACTGAAACAACGTTTAACACATACATAATACTTCATATCTCGTAGTACAGGTACATCAATAGACTTTTTTGCAGAGAAATATACGAGCCATTCTAGTATTGATAACTTTAATATACATATAAATAAATTCAAGAGAAATAGTTATTGCAACTATTACTAAGCCATTACTAAGTTTTAGGTATAAGTGGCGGATTCTGTGTGGACCTCGGTGTGGACCTCAGTGTGGACCTCAGCATGGACCTCGGTGTTTCTATAAATAAATATTTTTTACTTAAGTGCGTTTCCACTCTATTAAGCAATCAATTCAATCAAGCAAAGCAAAAGACAATTTCTATGTCAAATTCATTTTATAAAAAGTGACCTTTAACAAGTCGGTGCAAACCAATTAATAGCCTGTAAGAATGCAGTTATCCTATCCAGTAAGTAATTCACACGGACTAGTTTTACTTTAATTTTGTATACAATTTTACAGAAACTCACGAATATTAAGTATTCTTTTATCATAGCAAAAATATATTACATATATTGTTCCATTGAAGTGGTTAGATTTCTCCAGCTCAACTCAGAGTTGAGTTCAATGAAAACCTCATCCATCCATCCTTCATCTACCCAAGTTTCCAAACAATCTTCTTTCTTTCCACATTTATTTTATACAACCTTATTCTAACCCACGTATTCCTATATGTGATTTCTTTCATGTATCTACCAAACCATAACATGTATAGAATGTATATGTAAATGGTTTCATATGCTTCACAACAGCACTTTTTAAAAACTTCAAGTTGTAAGAGTTTATTTTGTTAATTAGGAAAAGTGAAAGATTATAATTTTAATATAATTAATTAATAAAAGTTGATTTCATATTTCTGTTCCCAAATTATTTGATTCGTACATCATTACTTTTTTATGTTATGTCTTTCGCTGATTGTGTTCTTGGCATTACACAAAAAAATAATAGATTTGTTACAATACAGTATGTGTATAAAAAGATAGTTACACATTTCTTTTAAGGCGAATATAGAGTATTCAACAATTTTATACACTTAACTCTATTAAAAAAAAAAGAGTTAAAAATCTGTTGATAAAATTCCAAAAATTTGTCAAACCCCAGACACAGACTGAGTATTTAGATAATACTACAGATTAGTAATATGCTAATCGATTTTTACATTAATTCTACAAATATACAATAAGTGCGGTTTAATATTGTATATTGTAAATCCACTCATTACTAAGATTATTAGTCCCGTTTTCGACGGGAAAGTTCTACACTGAGGAAAAATAAAACTAACATTTCTATTAACATAATAATGATATAGTTTTCTAAGAATAATATATTAAATCAGTTAAAGTTCAAGAAAAATGTTAAAAGTTATGCTAATTAATTTATAATATAAAACACTTATAATAATTCAAATAAGAGGGCTTAAAAAGACTGATTCTTAATTCTTATCATCCAAGGCATTATATACTTAGTTTAAGGTTTACCATTTTAGAATATTGAGTGCTAAGCAACCAGAGTATATTTTAAACGTGTAAAAACTTATTACAAAAAAAAGTGGTTCAGTACATATCTTCAATGGTGAGTTTTATTTCTTGTTTTGTTTATATGTCAACAAACAAAATTGTCGAATCCGGGACAGTGAAAATCCACAAATAACTATTATAAGATTACAACCACATGATTACCAATTTATTTTTTTTGTTAAATTGTTAATAAACAAAATAAATAATAAATAAATAAATATAAGAATTTATGAATATATGTTATGTGGCATATATGTGATATCAGTAGAACGGTGTTGCAAGACATATAATACGTTCTGTTTTGTGCAAGAAATTTTCTGGATACATTTTATTAATGTGAATTGATAACCAAGACCATTAGATGATTAGAATCCATCACAATGGATTGCGTTTATATTAACAATCTTTAAACTCTCGCAATTTTGAAAACAAATATCTATCTATAAAGTTATAGTTGTCCTATTGACAGCTCTAACTGACAAGTGGTCGAAAATTACTTTAAAAGGATTCAGTATCGTTAGATGATCTGTGGGGAACATTTGGATGTTGTTGTATTTTACACCTAATGACAATATATACCAATAAAATTTTATTGAAATTTTGAAGACAAGCGTGTTTTATTTAAGTTTACTTTGGAAACCACAAAATAGATAACACTTGTTATACAAATATTAGCTTCTGTTTATTTGTTTGTGATAGTCAGAAAATAATAAAAAATATTCTACAGAAAATGTAAAGTTTATTCTTTAATAAAAAATCATTTGAGTATATTGCAAACATTTTATTGATGAACTATATACATAAATGTTCATATAAATTAAGTTTACGTTAATTATCAAAACATTTTTTCTCATACAATCCAAAGTATTATCAGAATATTTCGCATTGATGGATTGATATTCACACTTCACTTGTTGAAAATGCATATGAAAATTTGAACTTGATGACATTTCACAGCATAAAAAGCTTATTTGCAATGGCAAATGTCAAGAAAACTCTATGATGCTGAGTTTCGCATCCTTTTATATGAAGGACTTCAAAAAAGGTTTGGTGGTTTTAGAAATTCTCACGTGGAAATTTGATTAATAAATGTGTTAACAGTTATGTTACTAATTTTTCATTATATATACATATACATATATATATATATATATATATAATATTCAACTTATTAAAAAAACGTTTTAAATTTGTTAGAATTCATTAATTAAAAAACAAAAGGTTAGACACATGATATGCAGTCTTGTTTAAATTCCATAATTGGAATATTTAAAAATTTTAGTTAAATTACGTTAACTAATACAATAATTCATTTTTAATATAAGTATATAAATACTTTATTATTTGATTTAATTTTATATTAATTTATTTTTTTTTTGTACCTAACTCAATAAGCTTTTCCACACATGAAAATAACAGAAAATTGTTATAATCAAAAACAGCGTAAATTTAAATGTGCACGATATTTACTTCTTTGTTGTTATATTAAATTGTTTTGTTTTTCAAAATACGATAAACACAATAAATGTCAAAAAAGAAAAAACAAAAATATAAGCACGCGATTTAATTTAATAAAATAAGAAACCAAAAATAAAAACGTTCAAGCAAAAATAAATGCTCCAACTTGGCAAGATCACAACGGCGACGACAGTGATCAACGCGTTGAAAACAACTGAAACTAAAAGCGCAGAAGCCACTTTCCACATCACTTGTACGACGTACAACAAAATACCACCACCAACAATAATAATGATAACAACAACAACAATGATACAATTGCAATACTGACTGCCTAACCGTCGGTGTGTCTGTCAGAATATTTGTGCTGCCGTTTTGTATTTGTTGCTTTGCCTATCTGCAATCGCATTCTTCTTTGATTGATATGAGCTGCTATCAGTAAAAAAAATTAAAAAATATAATAAAAAAATTATATTTGAGAAATTATCAAAATAAAAAAAAAATTCTATTTTTATATGTATTATAAAAAAAAACTGTATAGCATGGATTGATCCACCGGTCGTCATTTCTCTTTTCAACTGTAATTCTTCTGGCTAACTTAAGCACGTTGTTTACTGTCTTATCGCTTCACTTGTGTTGCGCTGTTAACTTAAACATTTACGTCGATTTTACTTTGACTTGAGCATAACAACTACATACAGAAAAGACACTGTAATGCGGGTGTACGCAAATTGCTTGCAAAGAAATCAGTTGTAGTTGCCAATCGGAATAGTCTGTTTGCTTAAAGTTATTTTTTTAATTGTTTCTCTTCAACATTTATTGTGTTTTGTTTATCATCTCATATTTGCTCCAACTCTTTGTAATTGGAAACTGGCCCCAATGAAAAAAGCGATGCGAAATGAGAGATTCAAATTTTTTGTTTTGGATACAGCAATAGTGTTGCCATATAAATTATTTTGAGTTTGCACTTATCTTATCTTAGAATTGAGAACATTGATGGTAAATTGAGGGAAATAGTAAATTGTGTCGGTATGGCAGCGAATGTTCGTATTTACCAGAATTTCGAGTACGGTAAATTAGATATTACCATTGTGAAAATTTTATAAGATGTTTAATAAGTAAATAAATAAATTTGAAAACTTTTAACAGAAAAATAATAAATAAGTGCACTAAATAAAAATAAGGACGTGTGCGAGTTAGGCTAAGTTGATGCTAAACCAAGTGGGAGATTTTTTGGGATTTTTTGCACTGCACACATTTAGCCATTTATCAACACGTATCGACACATCACTACATTATCGGCTCAACTTAGAATTTCCCTCATTTAGAGCTCAATTAGCCTAACTCGCACATGTCCTATAAAAGTGCAGTGCAATATATCCCTAGGAAATTTCAATTTACTTTAAATTTTTAAATTTACTTTTTAGAACGCAACTTAGCCTAACTCGCACACGTCCTTAATAAGAGCAGTGCAAAATATCCCTAAGAAATTTTAATTTACTTTACCTCAATTTACTCGAACTCGCATACGGCCTACATATGTAACATTTCTTCAACAATTTGTATCATAAATAAAATATTTATTCTAGCAAATTACTTATAAGTTAATAAAGTTAAAAATACCTCAGCACTCTTTAATGAAAATAAAGTGCGAACATCACCACAATATAACGAAATAGACTACAATGGTTCAGAGCTTAAAATGTAACGTCCGGTTATATTGTTACAATTATAAAAAATTCATTAAAAATTAAATACACTCTTCCTAAACTTTTTTCATTTTATACAACTTTTAATTTAGGAATACAACCGTAGCACATATGTGCTTTACATAACACTTTTTTAAAATAAAAATTGACTTTTACTCATAACTATTGTATTGCTGTTATGTCATGGGGACCTGTAGAGCAGGGAAAGTGGACAGGAGAGGATTACAAGACGAATATAAGCGGGAGAAAGGGGATAGTATGATATGGGAGAAGGAATTGAGCATAGGTGGATAATAATTGTACTTAGCACTTTATTGAGATAAAGGCATAAGTATAAAATTCTCAAATTAGTGTGCATTAGGATAGCAAAATCAGATGGATGACTTTTAGTATATTCCATTATTCTAGAGCTGTGATATGTAATAGTTAAAAAACGAATGACTTATTTTTTTTTTAACTTATTCAACAGAGTTTCTTTATAGGTTTTGAAAATCCTTATATATACAAATGTTCTTATTACTGGTGCATCTCAATGATTGTGTTCCAGAGCGGATTTAATAACTAATTAAATATAATGTTCTTACAGTATGTAGGTAGCTTGTCACTTTATCCAATAACCCTATCAATTTTAGATGAAGTCTTGCTTTATAAATTTTAATATGTTCTTTCCGCCGTGATTTCAGGCATAACTTTTAAAAATTATACCCACGTAATTCAACGCACACATTTATCATCTCATTTATCATGATTTTTGCTTAGATTAATTTTTAAAGAATTTGAAATATAAGAAATATTCCATATAGAATAAATAGAAACCTTCAAGAATTTGCTTATAATTTTTATATCAAATACAGTCCAAACACCTCTCGACCAAGAGAGGTCTAAATAGATTTTCTGTGTTTATTTGGAACCATTTAAACCCAAATAACCGAACACCTCTTTGAAATGGTTGATGGTGTACATCCGCTCAATAGAGTTTTCACTGTAATATGCATAAGTTATAAAGTTACGTTATGTGTAGCGGTACAATTTACTGGCTGTTTTAAAGTCATCCTAAAAGTATGCAATTTTGATAATTATATTTATCAAAATCTGAACTTTACATTTAGTAGATTTACTGAAATTTATTCAATGAATCTAAATGAATTCTGAAGATTTAACAGCTTATGATGACATCTTGAAAATAATTTTTAATTTTTTTTTGAGTTGAGGAAGTTATTTTTGATAAAGATTGGAACAGAGGATTTTTAGTATAAAAATCGGTTGTCATTGAACTAATTTGTAGTAGAATAATGTCTGTCCATCCGTTGTCGCTCAGTAGCCTTGATTTATACGTATTAACCAATATAAATCTGATTATTATAAATTTATTCATAAAATAATTTTTTAAAAATAAATATCAATTCCTTTCGTACTAAAATATTTTATTAATTCAAAGATAGAAACCAACCTGGCTTACACCGGTTTGAACTCAGATCATGTAAGAATAAAAAGTCGAACAGACTTAATATTTAAACTTCTACATTTAAATATGAATCTTAATCCAACATCGAGGTCGCAAACTTGTGATGTGATTTATTAAAAATTATAATTAATATAAAATGGAATAATATAATGAAATAGGTCGACTTAAAAATGGTCAATATTTATTTAGCTACCTATAAGTATTTACTAATTCCTAACCCTTTTGAATTTATTTATAATTCTAGTTTTGTAAGTAACAAACTTAATTAAACAAATAAAATAATTTAAAACGTTTAAGTAGTCAGAACATTAAATTAATAAAAATGTTGTTGCAGTCCCAATTCAAGTACAAACGTAATCTTTGCCTAAAAACTCCTAAAATATCCCATAGAATTAAATTGACTGGACGTTATTTGTGAAAATGTAAAACAATAGCTTTATTTCTTTCATATTTACTAAAAAATGTTATTAATTAAATTTAGATAAATTAAAAACCTTGACGCATTTTTGTAAGCCCGTTAAATTTAGCCTGAACAGAATAATATACTATGTTTCATAAATATTTTATAAATAAGATGCTAAGCTTCCTTAAAAAAAATAATTAGCCTGTAGAGCGTGACAGTGATAAGAAGGTGTTAGAAGCTTTTGAGAGAAAAATTCTTCGAAAGATCTATGGTTCCTTAGCATCTAATCCCTTGTCGTATTAGATGAAACGATGAGCTGTATGAGTTACACAGCGACAATGAGATAGTTAAGCGCATAAAAAATCAGCGGGTTCGCTGGCTTGGTCATATCGTGCGAATGGAAGAAAATGCTCCAGGTAGAAAGGTGTTTGATTCGGTACCTGTAGGTGAAGAATGCGGTGGAGGACGTCCGCTTCTTCGGTGGAAGGACCAGATGACCAACGCTATTGTGGCGCTTGGTACTGTCAACTGGCGACAGCAAGCAACTAATTGGGCTGGCTGGTAGAGACTACTCAACGCGGCCAAAGTCGACATACGTCTGTAATGACCAACTAAATCAATAATAATACATGTTCATTCATATATCAAACAAGTATTTCCAGTATACAGCATATATAAGTATTCTCTATGTTCGATATCTTTAAAGTTTTTTGATTTATTTTCTGTAATTAATATTCATTTATAGCATACATTCAGACCCTGTGCTTTGAAAGAAGAGTTCTTAAAGGAATATAGTCAATTACTTTAAAACGAAACTTTGAGATACTTTGAGTAAAGGTGCTTGATATACCGGTTATAATTTACACAAAACTTTTGTCGTTATTAGATCTAAACTTAGAGATTCTCTTCAATTTATGTTTTATTTTTAATTAAAGTATAGCAATTTTATATACCACATCTTTTTCTTATCTATCGGTTTTTGAAGCGTCTGGTGTCAATAGGTGTACATTTCACGATTAGGTTATTGCAAGCATTATCCTATTTGTATGATAATACTCACCATCAATTAGAAAAATTACCTGAACCGAAAACTATCACCGTTGACCTTCCTTGAAATTTTTTACACATATAGGGTCTATGAAGACCATAATGTCACCATTCAACACTTTTAGCAATTGAATGTTCTATGGGCATTTTTTCAATTTAAATATAGTTTTTACAGGGATATTAGCTGATATCCACAAAGAGTGATCGGTACTTTTGTCGGGTGATCAAGTTTTTTCCTATTGACGTCGAAGTGTGTTGGATTAGATGTAATCGTTTAGTTAAATATACTTTTTCTGAAATGCATTTACAATATGTAAACATTAATATTATATTAAGAAACTAATCTAAAACTAATATATTAGCAACGTTGAGTATAAAGATCTACTAGTTAAAAATTTTGACTAAGTAACACCTCTTAGCTCTGTATATTTATCAGTACGTTGTAATTAGTAGCCTGAGATACCAATGTGTATACATTTCACCAATTCTTTAAAGATACTTTAAAGATACTCGTACTGTTATTGATGTCTAGATGGCCTACAGCACCAAAACAGTAATTTGCCTATATCTGGGTTTAGCGAGTTATAATATTCTAGAAATTAGTTCCATTGTTTTAATCCAAAAATAATAAAATAAAAATAATAATAAAAAAATAGTCAAATTTTTCGTAAAGTATAAGTTATGATTTTTAACTTTATTGAATCCCAAACCTGGACAATAACAACATTATATGGAAAAAAAGTTGCATGTGTGTTCATTGCAGTATAATCACTGCCATATGTCTTAACTGATTCTGTATTAAAGTAAATATTGCCATCAACAATTTATCTTCTTTAATACTTATTTGGAAAAAATTCCATAATGGTTCAAAATGTTACTCATCGCTTTCAATAAATACTTTTTCATTTCTTCCATTAGTTCCATTAGTTATTAACATAGTTCAGTTAGTTTATTTTTTATGAAATCATACAAACTCTATTTTAGAATTTTTATATATATGTATATATATTTCATTATTATCCTAATATATCGATTATATGTTCAGTTATTTTTGTTATATATGGTATAAATGAATTTACGGTAAAAATTTATATATGCAGAATTAGTTATCACATTGAGTGCTCAACAGTTGTAGGTACCGAATCCGGATTGTTGCAAATTTGGCAAACGAGAACAAAATAGATCAGAGACACTCGTCGTAGCAGTTGGAAAAGTTATAACACGTAACTCGCCGGTATCTGAAACTTGTAGGGAATTAAAGTACGGTGGCTGAGGCACGATTTGTGCACCACCAATCCAACCATTGCTGGCCACTGCTGCTACTGCCGAAACTTTATTCGCAACGGCTGCTTGTGGTGCTATTAAATTGGTTTGTAGTTCACCGGTTATTGGATTATACTGCGAACAGCGGGACCTGGCTAAAATACATGACGTGATGTTTGTGTAAAAATATATACGATCAGTTTCGAGCGTTAACTGTCGAGTGCCAAGACTCTCATTGTAACATGTGGAAATCTAAAAGAAGTATAAAAGGATTTGACAAAAGTATAACATATATTATTATTATAAGTATAGTATATAATATCAATATTTTTGTGTTATCATTTTTTACCAATTGTTGTGCGTTAATGCGACGGATACAGCGTACAAAGTCACAGTAACCTGTGTAACAGAAACCAGCTACAGGATCTGTTGTGGGGCGGTTGCCGTCCACTATGGCCTGTAAGTTTGTAGCACAGGTAGCATATCTTGATTCAGTTATGTATAGTCTAGCACAATCATTGAGTGATGACAGTTGTGTTGGTCCATTTAATATGCTGCCAGCTCGAAAAAAGCAACCATAGCAGGCGTCACGCATTTGAATCGAGGTCGTTTGAGTTGTGTTGCATAACAAATTCAGCAAGGATAATAATTTGATACTAAATATAGAATGAAAACAAAATAATTTAATGCAATAATACCAGACTATCGACTATAAGAGGATTGACCATTTTATATGGACTTATCTGGCAACACTGAAAATTTGATAAGAAAGGTGAGAAGCAAGGTACATGTGTTAAGTATAGGTTACACGAATAATAGTTTTTGTGGAGTCACGACTATTAATTTTGTTACGTTGCGAGTATAATATCGACCGTAAATCTACGAGTACCACTTTAAAGTAACTTTGGTACTCAGTAACCATTATAATTTGAAAGAAAGAAAGTTAGGGGAAAAAATTTGAAAACTATAATAAATAATTAATAAACATACGCACATTCCATATAAACATATATACCTATTTTAATAGAATTATAAAGACTAGATCTTATGATGTGAATATATATTGTACTTTGTGCTACTTATTGGCTTACTTATTGACATAAAAACCTATATACAGAAACTTTGATAAAGAGCCTGATACTCCAGAGTATAGACTAGGAAAATTATATGTACTGATATACAAAAAACTGAAAACTGATCTGGGAATATGCTATATACCAGGCAAAAAATTAACCATGCTTAATCTAGCTGTCATAATTGAGTTCTTGAGAGCTATGGGAAATTTATTTTTGATTTGATTTATTTTTGAAATTTTAAAATTATATTGCAAAAAATTTTAAAAATAATATTATAAAAAAAAAAAAATAAATTAAAAATGCAAAAATCACTTTTCTGATTCAAAAGTACAGCGTGATCTATAATATCTATTATACTATTCCTCCAGCGAGTTCTCTTAATTAAAATTAACTTATTAAGACTATTGACAAACTATAAAAAATCATAAAATATGTGCTCGTGAATCTTGATATATAGCCGTTTTCTGATTCAAAAGAACAGCGTCATCTATAAGATTTATTATACTATTGACAAACCTAATAATATCTCTTGGTTTTTCAATAGATCTCATTAAATTCAACGAAAGTCAAATTAAGATACTGGACTTGTTTTTTGGCATTGACTTGGCATGAGCACATATAAATTGATGGTGGAGTTTATTTTGCATTTTATAGAATCTGCAGTTATCGGTTTCCTTAGTCGCATATTTAAAAGATGATATTTAACAACAGCTAGTCTTTTTAAAAAAATAGTGTAAAGTCTGCGTTCATATCTATTCAGGCTGAGTAACTTATCAGTTTCAATGTTGACTTTGGATTACCATAAACAGCTCATATATTGTTTTTATGTATTGATTCAGTCCAACAAGCCATTTTGGCAAAGGATTTATCCTTTGATGGATGTCAGTGCCTCCTTCTTCCTAAGTTTTTTAGCTCTTTTATAAATGTCGAATTTCTCATGACTATATATCTATATGATATATGCTATTTGCTTTTGTCAGATCCTGTATAAAAGCTACTATAAAGTCGGAGAGTAGGGAGTAAATAGAATTTTTTTTGAAAAATCTTCGTAAGCAAATTCGAAGGCCCTCAAAACAATTTTTTTTTGGTTATAATATGTCGAACACAAAATATCTAAAATAAATAGTAAAAGAGCAGAGAGGCTGAAGACCGCTATTAATAATATTCTGAATTTAACAAATATCGTTATCAAATGGTTACATATATGTATATATATATAAGTTGTGTATTGACGAGCTTTCAATTTGAAAGATTTCCATTCGACTAATAGTTAGGATAACTACTTACTTTAAATTAATAGTTTGTGATAAAAATAAAAATCTGTAGTAGCATCTAACTTCATCAATATACCTAATTAAAAAATCCTGATGAAACCTATGATGATCTTGATGATCAAACCTAAACCGAAGTGATATATATAAATTAATTATTATTCTATGAAAGTTGTATGTGTGATATATAGGTTACAATATCACTATCTTTACAATAATAATAATGTACTATTATTGTAAATTAATAATAGTTACACTTCAATATAACTCCTTACATTCGTTGTCTTAAGATCTTTTTTATGAAATCAATCGACTTTTTTATTTTTATCTTTTCTTTAACCTCGTAAATTTTTATACAGTAGTATATTCTTTGGTTGTGTTTCAATAGCCATACATAAAGCATGTCCCAACCATCTTCTTCGATTTTATATAGCTTACGACTCTACTTCTTCATTCTTCATTTAATATTATTTTTATTTCAGTTGCCTTATTCCCATTGCTTCATGAGAGTGTTTTATAAGATTCTTAAAAAATTAATTCTTCACACGTAACTGCTCTTACGGACAGCGTCTAGCTTGCGAAGACATTTTATCCAATATGTGTCGAATAACGAATTCGATGCTGTGATGAATTGTACTAGTTATATGCTGATGCGTACATAACATATACGCAGATCAGTTGAAGAGAATCACAAGCAACTGAATAAGACAGCGAACAGAATGTATTCACAATATAATATTGGATAATGGAAGTAACAGATAACTCAAACGCAGTAGCAAGAGATAGAAGTATATGGAGGAGACTCCCTAAGGATTGATTCGGGTTTTGAGTTTATATTTTGTATTTTAATATTTGTGTCATTAATTTTGTAATGTATAGTTATTGAAATTCAATTACTTGAAGTACATATAACCACGCGTGATATTAGATTTTTAGATCCCTCAAAACATTTTAAACACAATTCAAAATATTCTTTGAATTTATTTTAAAGTAAATGAACAAAGTTATCACCTTTCCGAATTATTTTAAAATTTCACTTTTTTCATTCGAGTTTCCACTTTCCCTTTTCTAACTTATTGAGTACTTACTTATTAACACCGCAAGCACCCTCGGAAACAGGAGCAAATTTGTTCCAATAAACACCTAACGTAGCGTTCGTTTGCTGATAAATCTATTAATTAATAGTAATAATTATTTATCTTCAATCGATCGATGATTTCTTCATATACCAATTGAATTTAGTTATAATTACCATGAAAACTGCAAACATCCATGATAGACAAGTGTAGGCCTTATTTTTGAATTTCATTTCTAGCGAACTCGGCGGTGGGTTCCCAATTAGAACTGTCAACGGCTGAAATGCGACTAAGTTTGGAGTCACACTTCAATGCTGATTTAACTGGTGTAAATTGTTTAATTCGAACACATCATCTGAAAAAAATGTTCTGCTCTATGCACATATTCAATTTTTTCCGGATAAGTCTCTAAATAAAATTCAGCTTGAGTTTTATTGAAATATTATTTCAATTAGAGTAGGTGTAGGTGAAATGCACATTGGCGCGGTCGCTATCACATAAAATGTGGACTCAAAAACGTTGATAATTTTTCTCGGACGTCACATTTTTTTGTTCCCAACTCTAAATGCAGTGATGGTTTAATTACGCACATTAATTTCTTTTATACTTTTAATATTAATATTATTTTTAATATTAAATATTCTAACACAACAGAAGATAAATAGTAAAATTTTTAGTTAACGTAAATTGGATTTACAGGCTCTTTAAGGTGAATAATATACCCGTAGAACCTATAATGTCAATGTAATTTTTTTTAAGTCAAGAATATTATGCAAATTACTCCGGCATAAATTCATTAGTATAATATTAAAAAAAATCCCAATTTTTGGACTTCTTCATTAAGAACACAATGTATAAATATATATACACTTATTTTATATTTGACTATTATGTTATATTTGATCTGTTGGTCTGTAGATCTGTTGGAGAGTAGATATTACACATATAAATATTTTTATTTAATAGAACTCAAAGTACAAAAATTAGTTAATGTATAAATAATATTAGAATTCATTGCCATTAATAAAAACTGTTAGTACCATATATCTATAGTACTATCTATAGTAATTTATTTAACATTACCAAATAATTCACTGATATGTTATCCATAAAAATAGTTGTTACGTTATATCATTTAGTTAATAAAAAAACTTGCAGATTATATTGTTCGCTGAGTCGCATACTATAACAGAAACAGCATTTTTCTTGAGCACTACCAGAGTTTCAGAATTTTCATCTTTAATTACTAACTATTATATGTACATAATTTTTTTTTTATTATATACATATGCAAATTATTAAAAATTAATCAAAGGTGTCTAGTATTGAGCTGTAAAAATAACTATTTAAATAATTTTTCTATTAACTATGGACCGGTCAAAGTTAGGAATTCAATCCAACTCAGACCGAAGATACTGTAGAGAAGAGAGAGAAACTGCATACTGCTACACGCACATTATAAGTATAAAATCATTCATATACCTTAATATATATTTTATATTATAATTTTGATATTTATATTTAAAATAAAAAAAATTGCAACAATATTATTACTGTTTAAAAAGTATAAGAAAAGTATATGCTTAAAAATACAATTAGAATAAAACAATTGATATAAACATATTTATGTATGCTTGTATTTATTTATATTTAAATTTTAATTGATAAAAATCAGTTGATAATATTTTAAATAATTTTATTATTAAAATTTACTTAATAAAAAATTTCAAAATAATTATTAACTAAATTATTTACTAGTTAATTATTATATAATTTATAAATAAATAAATAGCAAAATAAATAATTTAAAAATAAATAAATAATTTTATATATATAAATAAAATTATAAAAACACTGTTGAATGAAAAATGTATGACTAATTTAAAAAATAAATTACTTCATTAAATTTAATAAATATTTAAGAAAATTTTTAAGTGTACAATTATTATAATTATTGAACAATTTTTTATATATCTTATTTATATAAAAATATATTTAATTTAATAAAAATTAAAAACTGTATAAATTTTTAAAGTTATATTATATTGATTATTATCTAAATTCATATATATTTTCCTTACAATTATTATTATATTATATATAAAATATAAAGCTGAAAAGTTTAATATTTACACTAAAATAAATATTTTTAAGTTATTGTTTCTTATTGAGCAATTAATTTGATTTGGTGTAGAGCAAAGTATTTTGTTTTTCATTTAAATCATATTACATATTTTTATATAATTAATTATTAAGTGTTTTTTTTCTTGATATTGTCTAGTTTATGATTTATATTATTATTTTGCATTAATTAACTTAGAATTTATTTGAGATATTTATTATAAATATTATATATAATATAAGAATTTTATTTATATAAATTATATTTAGCATTTAAGATTATATTAAATAAATAGTATATATTAAGTAATTAAGAAAAATTAATAAAATTAATAAAGGAAAATAAAACTTAAAATGAAAAAAAAAGGAAAAAAAAATTAATATATATATATATATAATAACAATATAACATATATATAAAATTGAATGAAATAAAAATAAATTTGTTAAAATAGGAAACATTTGTAGTTTTTAATTAAAATAAGAAATATTTAATGTAATTATCAAAACCTTGATTGAAAAAAATTTTAATAATTAAATAATGAAACAATATATATATATATATATATAAAGCATTAAAAGCAATTTTGATATATATAAATGAATTCACTACAAAAGTATAAGAAAAATAATACATATTAGGTAATTAGCAATTAAAAATGTAATTTAAATAATTTTAAATAATTAAATCTGTAAAACAATAAACTCATTATTTATTTAAATATTTTGGTTAGATTTTTTTATTAGAATTTTAAGAGCATTTTTAAGTAAAAAAGTTATGAAGACAATGCACATAAAAATAAAAGAGAGAAGGAGAGGGAAAAAGAGGAAGAAGAAGAACAAAAATAATGTTGGAGAAGGAAAGAAGGGATGAAAGAAAATCAAAAGATGGTAAAGGAAACGAATATGATAAGAAGAGATAGGGAAAAAAATTGCGAGACAGTCATAAATCAAAATTTAAAAAAACTGAATAATTCAGAAAAATTTTAATGGATATATACGATATGAAGGAGATAAGTACTTTATTGCTGAAGATATTAACCAATGTACAGTTAGGGGCGAATGTATACTGGAAGTTGAAGATATACTACTTGTATGAAGTATACGATATATGCTATGATGGACTTTATTGTTGAAGGTTTTAAGAAATGTACAGTTAGGGAAGGATTTTAAGGTCTAGAAAAACAACTTGAATGGTTTATATGTAAGAGTGCGGTGATACAGAATATGAAAGCTCGGTGCTAGAAGTATGTTGTGAAAATATGTGTACAAATTGTTTAGTTAAATTCTTCGGTGAAGCTAAATAGTAAGAGTAACGTTATTAAGCAGTGTGACGTTTTCACAAAAAATCTATTTACATCATTTACAGATGTATTTAAATACGGTCAGTTAAATATATATATGTGATTTGGACTATATATTTTGAAGATCATGAGTGAAGTAGGTAGTTTATATACCGAAAAAAAATAATAAAATAAATTACTCACAAATTATTATATAAGGAATTTTGAAAATCTTTTATTTAATTTGTTACTCTTATTTTTCAAAACATATGCTCTCATTATCAAAAGCAGTAACTGCAGTTATTTAAAGGAACCTCGTAAAGACATCAAAGTATAGACAAACTATTTTATATGGCTTCAAACGGATTTGGTATATTTCCGTAATAATTTGAAAATTATTTCATATCTATAATATAATCTATTTGGTATGAGCAGTCGACTTATCGACTACCCACCTTTCCAAATGCCAGTTTAACGTTTTAACATAACTAGTTAAAATGCTACTCATAAAAAATTTACTATTTATTTAATTAAATTAATAAATTTGAAAATAATTCTATTCATTTCTATATTGTATTGTAGTATATCTATTTAAAAAATATTATTACCATGTATTTATATTAGGGTGCGTGCATGTCTAAGCTCGAACTCATCCGAATCAATATCATCCTCATCATTCTCTCCACTATTATTCTCATTAACTAAATCATCAACGTTATCATCAACACCCACTAATGTATCTATGCGTTTCAATAGTTGCTGACTAGCATCTTCATACTCGACCATATCATCCATATTACTGGCATCCTCATCAACATCATCGTAAGTTTCCTTAAACCAAACATCGTCTTCGCTGTCGTCAACAATATTTCCATCAGCAGCAGTGCGTTGCTTCAATCTTGACTCAGGTAGTTGATCATAATCAAAAACTTGACGTACATCTCTGGGTGCAGGTTCAGTGGTTCCAACTTCAGCATCGCCAACTTCATCGGTGTACGCATTGCTTGCATCCAATGTAATATCATTGATGGCATTCAAGGAGTCTCCTTTGCTACTGACCCGTGCATCTACCTGAAGTTGTTGCTGTGCTGTTGTTGTAATTGGTTTCAGAATAGTTGTATATGGTGGAGGTGTAACGAAAATTTTTTCATCATTCTTTTCCGCTGTTGTCAAGTGAACATCGTGGAAGAGATTGTTCAATGAGGAATCAAGTAAACTTAAAAGGCCTTGCATACCGGTGGGCGGTTGAGGTTCACTCGTCATAGTAGGTATATTTTGTCTTGTTAGCGGTAAATTTGCTGTTGTTATCGGCATAATCATGTTATTTGTTGCGGTTGTCGTTGTTGTCGCGATAGTAGTTGTAGTTGGTTTCGCAGTGGTTGTTGTTGTTATTGGTTTGACAGTCGTTGTTGTAGTAGTTGCTGTGGTTGGCGTTGTTTTGGTATGCAAATGCTTGACTTGAAAAGTTTCTACGGTTCCACGTTTTTCATTTGGATCTGCTATACGGACAATGGGTTCCCGTTTAGGTATAATCGGTACAATTTTAGGTTGATGTGGATCGATTTCATTTTTGCCATATGTTTTTACTTTCGAATGGCCCTCAATAATTAGATACATGGGACCAGCAATAGGTTTAGCAGGTTGTTTGTAATGTGAAAATAAAGAATCCGTTGTCATTTCCATTGGTGCAACTGTTGGTCGATGTAATAAATTGCTGGTATTGGGTATAAGTAGACGTGATGAGGTTGTAGTAGTTGTTGTAGGTGTCGTAATTTCTATATTGTTAGTAGGCATTGCGACAGTTACTGCCACTGGTTTACGAGTATACGTGCTCGGTGTTATTGTTGAGGTAGTGGTGTATGTTGTTGGAGTTATAAATACTGGAGTTGTACTATGTGCATATGTTGGTGACTTTGTTGGTAGCGTTGTACTGCTAACGAATGATACTGGTGAATAGGTAGTGCTGATGCCAATAGGTACCATAGACTCATACATGGGTTTTGTACTGCCCATCATGTATTTTGTAACCGAAATTGTTGGTTTTACGGATTTAATTACCTCTTTCTGTAACAGTTCGTGCACCCATGGCTTACGGGGCGGTGAGTTATATTTCAGCGCATTTTGATTGGGACGTATTGCATTGGTGACATATGCCATTGAACTTGGTCGAGTATAACTAACATAATTCATAGATTCCTGGTAATGTGAATCGTATGCTGATGGATAACGCTGTGTATAATGTTGTGCAGCAGCAGCGGGCGAGTGGATCCAAGTAGAATTCATAACAGGATTATAATAATTTTTATTGTGTGTTGATGTGCCCATACCAGTTAGAGAACTACTTCCACTAGGCATAAAACTAGGCATATTCAAGTGGCGGTAGTCACTAGTTGCTGTCGATTTTGCGTTCATCATTTGCGATATTGTTTGCATAGGTGGTGGCATTAGGCGGGTAGGCAATTGATGCCCATAATAGCTACGACGTATTGATGTATATTTTGGCTGTAATAATGGCGTTTCACCTTTCATATTTTTTAAAGAATTTTGTGGGGTTTGAAAACTGCCTCTTGTGTGTTCACTAGTTCCACCAAATAGTAATATATCATTCTTGCTTGGATTCGGTTTTCGAATATTGCTGTTCAAACCACTGCCAATAAGAACAATGTCCGTTGTACCAACAGTTGTTTCCTTATTTTTGTTGTCTGTCTTACTGTCACTGCTATCTGCCCAATAACGTACGCGCTCTAAAGCCGGTGGGCTGTAATCGTATGTGGGATCATTTTTTAAAGGGTCACCACGTCCAACAGGTCGCCATTCGTTATTATAGTCCACACGAGGACTAAACGTTCGCACTGTAATTGAAAAAATAATCAATTTTACGAATTAGACAAGCAAGTAAGTATCGATCGTGTTAGTGTGAAGTTGAAAACAAAAAGATACAAATTACAACAACAATGTTAATAGTACCAACAACAAAATCATTAATTATGTAAATACATAAATGTCTGTGAAAATTGTTGGTTACCACAATTTCCCCCGCATGTCTTTTTCGCACATTTGCAGACACGGTCTGACACAGCACACCCAGCCGCTCAGGTCTTGTAATTGCCGATATTCAGTTCGGAATATTGGAGCGGCATGAGTGCGCATAGCCACTCTAATCACCACTTGTGGAAGCGTCAACAAATGTGTTGCTCCGATTTGAGGCTGTTGTTGTAGATATTGCTGTTATTGTTGTTGGTTGATTAACTGCTATCAATTGATGATTTGATAGCAGTTGCTGATTGAGCTGAACGAATTCATTTTAATGGTCATCAATTATGTTATCAGAGGGATGTAATAGCTAAGTATGAATATTGTTTATAAATATTGTCTTCAAAGAAAAATAGCTGTTATCTTCCGCAGCAATGATTGTTAATTAAAATATGTATGAAGTGTGAAACGATATATGGAATTATCAACATAATTAGAGTGAGTACTAAGATTGAATTTATTATCATAGAATAATGCATATTTCGACATAATAGTCCATATTGGGAAGATTAGAAGTGTGGTTCAGTTAGTACAACTTTGAATCGATGATGATACTATAATCGATACTGGAAAGGTTAGGTAAATTTAGATTGGGATAATTTTAAAATATACGTCAATTAGTATAACTTTGAATCTGATTACTTTGAATTGATTTCAACAAGAAATGTTGATTGTATCATATTTTTGGAGCTAATGTTTTTGTGACCTTTATACGTATTATCTGTTGAGCAGTCCATAAGCATTAGTCAATTCTTCTGATTCTTATTTTTCTAATTCTGATTACTGGAATGCGATTTTACCCGGAAGTCTTTCACAGTCTAATTTTTAGGTCTTTTGAATTCATTCTTAAGAGGTCTTTATACGAGTTTAATCACACACTGTGGGTTTAAATGCTTTCCATCTGTTTGTAACCTATTTTTCTCCCAGATATCTGATATTCTAGCCATGAACTACATTTAAAAATTGAGGTTTTAATAAAACAACAAAAAATTTATATTTGAGATATATGAATTTTTTGTATTTATTAAGAAATAAATTCCTTTCGCAAAATTTAAAAAATCCTCTTTTTGATAGGAAAATAGGGGAATTTGAGGAAGGGTGCCTAAAGCAAATATCTTTATCTATTTGTCTTTATCTATTCATACTAACATAAGTTCGTTGTAGTAACAATCAAAATTTTCGTCTTAAAAAAGTCGTTTTTAATTAATGAAGAGCTTGTAGGTTAACATTCGGGGAGTTCAAAATTTAAAATGAACTCAAAAAATCCAAAAAAATTGTAAAAAACAAATTTGTTTTCTGTTATAAAGCATTTTATAGATATAAACCAGAGGAATGAAAGCTATAGGACCCATCCATTTGTTTACATATTTTTGAGATTAGAGAGAGAGAGAGAGAGAGACAGTTTAGTTTGTGTTGGAAGAGGTAATTTAATTCGATAGAATTAACAAAATTAATTAATTCCATTAAACCCCGCTATAGAAAACTTAGTTACATATTTCCAGTGTTATCTTCACTGTGTTTTGAACGATTTAATAGACAGCCTTATTATTAAATCTGAGACTTGGTATGTGACTACAGCTAGCACTCATAAGTTGCAAACATTTGTAAATAGATGTCTGCGTTAGATTTTAAGAATAATAGGATATGGTAATCAAGAGCCATTTGATAAAGATATAATTCAGAGGAAATACAGATGGCTGGGCTATACTCTTCGCAAACCAAACATCGAAATTGTTCTTGCTGCACTCGAGTGGAGTCCGCAGGGAAGAAGAAATCAAGGTCGGCTGAGGACAACATGGAGTAGAACCATCAGTAAAGAAATGAGGAAATCATTTAGTGAGCTAAAAGCAATAGCGCGCGATCGTAGTAATTGGAAATCTCTTGTGATTAGACTAAGTTCATAAATATTATTTCGGAACATGTGTGTGTGTCAATAATAATAATAATAATAATACACATAATGCGGATTTGATTAATGTTTTGAATCAAAAGCAAAAGACAATTTATTATGAAATAAGAACTCATAAATAGTTAAGTTCAACAGTGTTAATAACCTTTTTTAAACGGTTATTTAATAATATTAAATAAATAATATCAACCCTGTACAGATACAGATACAGAAGACAATGCTGTTAACAAAAGACTGCATTTCATGCACAAGACAGCAGCAGTACAGCGGCTTTTGTGGCTGAACGATAATGCATCAGATATTTATAAACAAAAACAAAAGTTTTGCGAAACTAGGTAAACTAGCTGCTGAGATGCTGAGTAGCGAAGCGACTGCGCTATGAACTGCTCTGCCAACCATTATTCCTAAATTTAAACGAACAAGTTGAATAAAAAGTGAGGCGATATTTTTACAACAACAAATACAGCCAAACAACAAGAACAGCCACGACACAATTACAAAGCCAATCGTATTAATGCAGTTGTTGTAATGCATGAAAATATTTTCGATGCTAAAATGTTTGCAGATGATCAATGGTCAATCACCAGTCACTCATTCACTCATTCACTTGCACAGACATCTTCGGCTTCTTCTTCGTCGGTGTGCCAATGCCACCAGACTCTTGACGAACAACAATTTTTTACCACTTTATCATACACATTGTATAAGATAACAACAACAATACTGAAAACAGGACCAACGCAGACACGACATTGAAAATCAAAATATTAAGTTAACATACATATATATGTGTGCATATGTGTGTATATGTGTGCATATGTAGCTGCGTATAAGTTAGGAGACGTACATATTCACAAAGTGCAGGCAATCACAAGTATTGCATATGCATACGTACGTACGTACACAAGTTAATACTGGTATGCGCTGAGACACGATAGTTGATAAATTATTTGCTAAAACCTGACAAATCGCTTTCCATTTTAATATGAAAAAATAAGACTAACAACAGCAATAACAACAGCCGCAACAACAACAATAACGCCAGTTACAACAAACAGCAGCTTAAAATGATATATTAAGTAAACAAAACACATTTGTTATTATACTAAAAAGCTTAGACTAATAAAGAGTTTGCTAAGTTTGTCGCTGGTGTGGTGAGTTGTCGTCAATGGGGCGTGAGCGTAAGCGAGAGGGAAACAGCACCTAACACCGAATTCGGTGATGAGATGAAACGATTCTTTACTAATGTCCATTGCACCACTATACTTATTTGATCCAATCGTGTTTTTTAGAATCCTAAAAGATTTTTAGGGATTGTACTTTGGATTTTGATGGTTTAGATGAAGAGGAATGATATCTTTCAAATGGTTCTACTTTGTATGAACCCAGTATAAAATGCACAGTTTATCAAAAGTTATAACATTCACATTAAAAAACCTTAAAAGTATCTGTGAAGGGTTTAATCAATATTAATGATCAATATTTTGATTTCATTTTCTGTACTATCTTAACTATAAATATATGGTAATATAATTATATATCGAGAAATAAAATCGCATTTGAATAGGTGCCTTTTAATATTCAAGCAGATAGTATCGCATGTTAAAAGAACATCCGATACGATATGAGAACTATCGATATCTATAACTATTGTTTGACAGCTGTGTTGATTTCCTGTTCAGTAAGATTTGGTAACTCATCATGACTCGTTTAACGCTAGAACAATACTTCCAAATTGTGGAAATTTACTTTGAAAAAAATAATTCTATTCGCGAAGTTCATACTGACTGAACTGACTGAACGACTCAGTTAAGCATCGACGAGATTTGGTTCCAACAAAACCATTACATTTGGTTCCAACAAAACCAATGACAAAACCATGTCATTAGTTTATACGCAATTTGCCATACAGCGTGCTTAACAATCGACAGAAGTGGTTCTGTCCTGTTAACTGGCCCCTTCCTTCGTGCTATTTAACGCCTCTCGAATATTTTTGATAGGGCTATGTTAAGTCATTGGTTTATACAACAAACGAGCAACTCTTAAATGTTCACACCACCACTGATGTCACACGGTCCCATTTATTGCAAAAAATAGTCAAAAGTTGGACTGATCGAATAGTTCATGTAACTCGTAGTCGCAGCGATAAGGTGCCGGAAATCATATTCAAAAAATAAATGCCATGAAATTATCTACCAGATTTTAATAAAAAAAATCTTTATTCCAACAATATTTCGGTCTTGCAATATCATTTTAAGTTCTCATTCAACTCAAAACAATCCGATATTTAGTTTAAATTGGGAAATCATTGGGATGCGAGTTTATGTCTAGGTATATGAATATTTTCATTCATCTATAAATTTTCTTTATTAATAAATAAAGTCTTTGGATTGCTTCATGTAGTCTTCTGATAATTTACCTATAATTAAAGTTATATGCCTTCATATATATTATTTTTTGTATAATCTTTTTTTATAATGATGATGCTTCAATCTTATAATGATTATTACTATTACTAATAGGTGCTACTATAGGTTTAGTAGCCAAGTGGGATGTAGAGCTCTGTGCCAACAGGCAAAAGTTACGCTCTATAGATCGCTCATTCTACACAGGTAGAATCTTAGATCCTTTTCTTTTAAATAGATCCCTTTAGATCTCATAGATCCTTTTCTTTTAAATAAATCCCTTTAGATCTCATAGATCCTTTTCTTTTAAAGGATCTATGATCCTAAATTTTTTGATTTTGCACTAATAGTATGCGATTTATACCACTTAAATTTTTTTATAGTATTAAGCAGAATATGTTTTGAAACGGTCGATTTTCAAGTTTCAAGACGCTTTGAAAATAATGATCCGTCAGATTATTAAAAGAATAACTTTTATATAAATCGGTGACTGATATAACATATTATATATTTAAATTTATGTAACAACTAATAGATGTAGTGTATTGGCTTTTGTTCTAACATCAAATGTAGAGCACCCGATGTGAAAAAATGTTGCTACATAATTTCTTTCGCAAATCTTAAGAACTGAAAAATAAACTTCTAAACAATTTGCAGATAAATGTATATGTTACAGATAGATAAATGTGATTAGTCTCCAACAGTCTCCATAGACTTCTTTCGTGGTTTACAAGCTTAGTTAATACTTTTCATACAATGCGTAGGGGCTATGAAAGCTGTTAACCACGGTCGAATGCATTTAACCCAATTGCAATTCCAAATTGACGCCATGCGATTTGGAACAGTCAATGGTCTTTGACTATTGACATTGGCAAAAAAAAAAATTAATATCTACTTATTTGATAAATTGTTGCCAAAATTTAATTCACTACCAATTATTTGTGCGCTTCGTTTTTATTCGCAGTTCATAAAAGTGCTTTAAACTTTTTCATATGAAATTTTATGGACCCCAAAACCAAAGATTGAAATGATTAAAATTTATGAGTGATTGTTTTACAAGCAATCATCCAACTATTTTGTGGTATGTGAAAATTGGTCTGAGGTAAACATACGTAAATAAATATAGATAAATATTGACATTGTTTGCATTACAGTGATTATTTTTTAAGTGTTTATTTTTACCTGTTGAGTCTTGGATTATAACATTTTCTTCGTCAGTTTTCGACTGAGTTTGTGGTTGTAAGCCGAGGGATTGTGCATAGGTTATACTGCTGATTAACAAAATTAACCAACAGCAAATCGTAGGAAAATTTGATTTAAAGCGATCGGTTATCATATCTGCTAGGTTATCTGAAAATTAAAACAAAATATAATAAATAAAATAATTTTCAAAATATTATTTATGCTAATAGTTTATTGTTCATATACAATGATTATATATTTCTTTAAGTTAGAATATGAAATCAAGTAACCGTCAGACATCATGTTTTTTCTAGTGGATTAGAGTCTCATACTGACTTAAGGTTGCGAATGGTTTCTACGTCATCAAAAAAAAATATTGTGATAATTAAACAGTTCGAATTTGCTCCAATATTTTCGAATTTGAGTATTTGAATCGAACAACTTGAATACTTAAATCCTCCTTTACTCTATAAAGAAACTCGAATATTTTCAAGCTGTTCACATTACTCACAGGAACCAAAATTTCAGTTAGCTGAGAGGTTAGAATTTTGCGAAGTAAAATTGTGGCATCCATATTTTGCGATATGCATGATTTAATCATTATAGATAATAACAAAAAAGAAAAAGCATAAACAGAAAACAGAAAACAGCTCTCAGCAGCTGATAACATGGACATTAATGGAGAAGCTTCATCATGATTCCCATGATTCCCAATTTGTGAAAGCAAATGCTGCTTAAATCAGGGATATAGAGCTGACACGACTAATAGAAGTATCTGTTGCTTCAACTTTAGTTTAGTCTTCACGGCTATATGTTAGGAATGAAGATTATCAGCTCCTGACGCTTTTTGTGCTGGCATAAATTCAACATAGTATTGTATACTATATATAGCACATAAATCTAAAATTTTTCTCTTTTTATTACACCGTCTTATATATAAAAATTTAGATTTCAATAGAAAAGATTAAAATAAATTACTGGTTAAGATTAAGATATTATAGTAATAGTAATATTAATTATAGTAATAATACAAAAACAAATACTACAACTTTGGAGGGATTGGTTTAGGTTGGGATGTTAAGAGTTACCAATAAGATTTCGTTCATTGTATATTCGAAATACAAAATCTCGAAAACTTCAATCATCAAAATAATGATGAAAAAACTGTTAGAAAAAAGGGTTAAAATGTAATAAGTTACCATATCCGAGAAGTACCTACGAACTATATATCAGTCTTCTGTCATATTAACATACGTATTAAAAATTCATATTGAAATATTTCGACTGGATGTATAGCACTTGATTTATTATTTGGAAACATGATTTTTAAATCTTCTACATGTTGACTTTTGATAATATTTAACCATTGCTAAACCATTATAGTGTTCCTACATTTAAGTGCACTATAAGGGTTTAGGTATATTATTATTTAGGATAAGCTGAAAGTATCCATTAGTGGATATAAATTTGGTGATTTTGTTTGTCACTATTACATACAATAATTGCTGATCCACTGCTTTGATATAATAAAATTGGAAGTAAAAAAGTAAAGTTTTTCAGTTGATTTTATTTAGGTATTGCCCTCAAATCAATAAAAACTATATATATATAATTACATATATTCTTTTCAAAAGGAATAAAAGACAATTGGTTATATAGTGGTTAAAATATATATTATAAAAGCATTTTGTTGTATCGAAATAAAATCGAAAATCTGTCATTATAACCTAAAGCTTGAAAATACTGGATTGATTCTCAAAACGCAAAACGCAGAAAAAATTGAAGTTTCAAAAAAATTAAATGGAAAAAATAATACTTTCTATAAATGCTATTTAAGGACCACCCACAAATCATTTCGCTTTCTACACACAATTTTATTATTCCTTCCTCAAAACTTTGGTTTCAGTGTCTTTGCTTCTTGCCTCCAGACTCTCGACTCTCATCATTTAATTTTGTTCGTCTGTTTTGTGTTTCCAAAAACGTCAAAAATCAAACTTGTCACGAACGCAGAGAAAAACTTCAACCTTCTTCATTGCTGATAGTGTCACAATGGATTGAAGTCCAGTTGAAGTCCATTCAAGTCCAAATGAAGATATAACCAAAAAAAATGGTAAAAATAAATAAATAAAATAATAAAAAATACGAGTACTGATAATAATGTGTAATGGAAAAATAAAGAAATACCCAATACCCTTGAAGAACGAATGAAAGTGAATAGCATCATCTTATTGTTAACAAAAACTGCATATATATTTATATATACATATATCTTGACAATATATATTAATATCAGATTTTTTGGCTTTTATAGGATAACAAAGGCTCGTTTATGATTGCCGACTTCCCAAATGGCGGCACCAACTATTGAAAATAATATGACAGCGTTTATATGTACTGTGCGAATGTTGAATGGATGATGCCGCGGAGTGGGATGTCAGTTAGTCATGGTTTCAGGTACGGGTTTTTGCGTTAAACGTGTAAAATGACGTATTAATTTCTTAATGCCGCAGTTAAAATGCGTTAACATTTAATCAAATGAACTTCGCCAAATGTGTGTAAACATATTAAATTGTCTATGTTTGATGTTTTTAATGCTTCCACAATGAAACTTGATTTAGTCACATTTACGGCTTAACAGTGTTAACAGTAAAGGGATACCGGTACCATTTATATAAAAATAAAAATATAATTAAATTTTACATTTATCTAAAATTAATTAATTAATTTTTAAACAATTTATTGTATAAAAAAAAAGACTAATCCTTTGCTGCACCTGTATAACTGTCAATTAATTTTAATTACAATCAATACAATTTTGATTGAATACACTGTTTTTTTTTTTAAGTTACTAATCCTCTCAAAATTTAATTAACTTATGACAATGCTTAATTTTCAACCTAAAAGCGAAGAAAAATATTCCATTCTAATAATTTCCATTCTAAAATTGTTCCATTCTAATTAAAACTTTACTAAATTTTTTCATAAGACCTTTCTAAACCATTTGTAGAGTTTCTTTAGAAATTATTTTGAAACATTTATTAATTATTTCTTTATTAATTGTTAAAGGCATTGCAAATAAAATTAAAATATTGTGTTTACACTTCGCACTTATCGAACGTAAGCCATATGTATATATATACTTCTTTCATATTTATTGAATTTATTAAATTTTATTAATTTATTAAAAGAAATTATATAAATTAATCACTGTTGCAATTTTTAAGAAACATAATTCTTTTTTATGACTTCATTTTTTTATATTTTTATTCTATAATTTTCATATGGCAATATTTCGAGACGGTATTCACTAATTAGTTTATACCGACTGTACTGAAGATCCACTTAGGCCTATTGGCCCATTCTGTTACATTTCCCACTTAAGGGCTATTAAAAAACAAATTATATGTGAATTTACTTCTATCATGTAACTAAATCTGTCTTTCCTTTCATGATTTCTAGGAGACTTTGATTTCAAGTGCCTTTACAAAGTGGCTTAACATAGACGGTGTTTCTATGCTCACTCACTATGAATACATTCTGAGATACAATGGCAATTTCGATAGAATATCGAATTAACATTAAACTGTAAATTGATAAGAAAACATAAAGAAATAAACTATTTTCTAAAGCTTAATCAGCCCTCAGCTGCTTCCGGGAATACTTATGCAAAGGTAAGCAGTTATCCGTTCCATATTATTGATTTTTTCATAGCAAATAAAAAATGTAGATCATGTTCTTCGTGAGTATACAAAGTTTAAACCTATAAGCAGTATAATCGAACCAATTACGCAAGACCAGATCAACTCATATAGGCTTATTAAACATGGTGAGCTATTAAAAGAACTGAGACTCCAGATTCACATAACATTTACGAAATGTTGAAAAATCGCTAACAGCGTGAAAAACACTTAAACTGTATCAAGTACTGAGCTATGAGATGTGAAGAGTCTCCTTTGTATAATACAAAGTAATAATTGATTTGATGGTACTGTAGGGCAACGATGCTACAATGGCAATGAAAGTGAAGTGGGTTTAGTCAGTAAAAATTGAGCACATTTAAAAGAAGAGTTCTGTGTCTTTTAAAAATTGATCTTTCTTACGAAAAGCGACACAAGAAAAAAAGAAAATCGGATTAAATTTATTTTTTATAAAGAATTTTGTTTGTCTTTATAGTACTACGGATGAGATATTAGTGTACCACCAAGAAATGATATGAACCTACCTTTTCGGCTGCAAAGTGAATTCGACTAAGAAAACTTAGCATCAGATTTTTTAGAAAGTGCAAAAATTCATATAAAAACTGGTTTACAAATAAGAAAAATTATTTTTCTTCAAGACAACAGATCGGATCATACAGTTAAAAAAACAGTGCAAAATTTAGTGGATCAGAGCACAAATTATTACAACAACTAATCTACGCGCCAGATATCGTTCCAGCTGAACACGGGCACTTTTCAATAATGTAAATTAAAAAAATTCTGTAATCGAAAATAATTGCCATAGAGGAGTATTTTGAAGATCTTTCGCAAAAGCAGATATTAGATTCAAAAATTGGAGGGTCATTGAAGATGAAGAAAATTCTATGTAAAAAAAAATAATTTTTGTGTCTAAAAAGTTACAAGAATAATTCTGTATTCGTATACGTCCGAAACGATTTCAAGATTTGTTTGGGAAGTAATAATATATATAGGCCATGTAGATTACCTGATCTGCATAGTACTTAAAGAAGCCCCCTTTTCTAATAGTGAAATATTATTTTAGGAATTCTACATAACATAGGAAGATTGGCATTATTAGTGGTATGTCAATATGTTTACTGATTGATTAATGATTAATAACTGTGCAAATCGTTTGTATTTGTAGAGCTGCATCTCTTAAATTTTACTTTTCCAACAAATTTTTAATTTCAAAAAGTTTAGCTGAAGATATTTTTACATTTACTTTTTGACAACCAAAGTCTGCATATAATTTATAAAGTACGTTTCTTTTTGGACGGCTTTTGGCCCTTTTTCAGGTTCATATTCTGCTATAGCTTGTATTGTATTCCAATCTTCTTTCTCAACAGTTAACAGAATAATTTTTTCTTATATTCATTTAGGTTTTAAATCAAGATGGAAGTAATTCTCATTTGTGTATATTATGCATTTAATCACA